TAAGACCTGCATCAATGGAGATTTCTCAAACCTATACAAACTCAGATTCATCATCAAGCCAAACAAAAAAACTTGAATCTTTTAATTACCTGACCAGATGTTAAACGAGCTCTATGAACAAGTGCTACATGAGAAGTTCCAAACGCAACAGGAAGTGCAGCTGCAGCTACCATATCACATCTCTCTGGTACAAGGAACAGTTGAGACTGATCGGTGACGATGAATTGAGCGAAGGAACCGAGACCGGCGAAAGAGCAAACACGATCTCCGATTCTGAATTTCGTGACGGCGGGACCGATCGATTCGACGATACCGGAGTAATCGGATCCAGGGATGAATGGTAACGGAGGTTTCTCCTGGTATTTTCCGAGAATCTGAAGGTAATTCGCGTAATTCAAGCTCGTAGCTGTAACTTTGACTCTCACCTCCGTATCTGAGCTCAAAGACGGGATCGGGTAGCTCTTGCTCACTTCCACCGGAGATTGTGGACTACCTGTCTCCGTCGGATCTCCCAATTTCCGGCAAACCAAAGCCTCCATTTTCGCTTTTTTTTTTTTTTGGGTCTCTCGGTGTACCGGAGGATTGGATATTTATCTTCTAATAGACATATATGATTTTATCAAGTCCGATTTCGTTGGACATTCGATTTCGTTTATTTGTTCATAAATTTTTCAACTTTTGTATGTTTTGTAAACCTATGGCTAAAAATGTACTTGTTCGTAACCGGATTTAACCGAACCGGCCTTTTTCCTACAAATGTCAAGCCTCGTGGCTTTTTGAGTTATTTTGAGAGCATAACTGTTAATTTGGAATTTTAAGTAATTTTTTTATTATAAATTGTTTTTGGAATTTTAAATCTCTAAAATTTAGGGTTCTAAATTTCTAAAATTAGAAATTTTTATTAGGATTCCAAATATTTTATGTATTATTTAATTGTTTTTAATATTTTAAAAACCTATTAAAAACCACTAAACATTGATTATGCTCTTAAGAAGACCTAAAAGAGGAGGATTCAGAGATCGCCCTTGGATCTTCGTTGACCCATATCTAACGGCCAAGAGATTCTTCTACGGTTTCTTGTGCTTTAAGACAAAAAAAAAAAAACCTAAAACCTATTCCCCTCTATCTTCACCATGGGATCAAGAAGAAGTTGGAAGCTTGGATCGTGAGTTTTCATCTCTTTTTTGGATAATTTTTACATGGGTTTATAGAATTTTAGAGCTTTTGGGCATAAATATTGTAGCTTTTAAGATTTTGAGACTTTGGGTTTTACTTCACAGGTCA